CATGGAGCCCCTCAGGCAGGCCCCAAAGCCAGACTGCCAATCTCGCCAGGAGGGCGGGCGCAGGTGTTCAGCACCCAGACGGCGAAAGTAGCGACCATCTGGAAGCAACGTACACTTATTCCGAAAAGGAAGACATTGTCATAACCCGTAAGACCGACTGTTGTGAAAACGGTCGGTGACAAGGGGCTTTCCGCACACTGAGGGCGTGTGCTATGATGAGGAAGCTTTCCAAAGCGAACTGCAAAAGCCGGAGCCTGTGACCGTCAGGCGGGACCGCGCGCAGAGAGCGCCGCGCGCCGCGTCAAGCCCGACAGCCCCCCAGTTCCCGGACCCCCTCCCCCAACCCCCAGGCAGGGACGGAGTAAATGTCTGTGTGGCTTAAAAAAAAAATCCCTGGGCTGGGATCGGGGGCTTCCCCGCTCCTTTGTGGTTTCTGTAGTTCTGAAATGTTTTACAATAAATACGCGTCTTTCATATTCAGAAAAAAAATTTATTTTCCTGCTGAAAAATGTGAAATTATTTTGTAGAACATTTTCCCTTTCAGCTGCAGAGAAGCCACAAGGTAGCAGGTACTCAGGAATCAGTGGGCGAAGGAGCCCTCGGGTGGACAAGGGCTGTGGGACAAGGGGACAGGCCAGGAGGGGGCTCATGTTCATGCGGCTGGACACTCTTATCTCAGATGTCAGGTCTCCACCGACACAGCCCGGGGGTCATGTCCCTTTGGACTTACTCCTGTGAGCTGTGAATCTGGATTTAACCGGAGCTGGGAGTGGGTGCCAGAGCAGAGACCTGGGTTTCCAGTTTTACTCGGACGAGTAAGCCGTTGGAACATGGGTTTGCCTTCACAGGCACTGCTTTTGCAAATGAAAGCCGCACCTAAATGTAACTGGAAATGTTGGGAGCTGACTTGGTTTACACTGCTGGGTGGCTAAAGATACAATTCCTATAGTGCTGGCTGTCTATTTCTCTTAAGCCGTGTCGTTCTTGGAGGGTAGAGGTGGCTTCTGGTGATACAGAAAGATTCGAGGTCCCTGATAAGATACAAAACCGATCTCTTCCTCGGGGGCTGGCCTTGGGGGCTGGGAGGTGGGCTTCAGGCGGCTCTCTAGGTCCAAGGTGACTCCAGCCTGTTGCTGATGGAACGGCTGACTTTGAGCAGGGCCTCCTGGAACTGGGGGTACTCGTCCTTCACGTGGTGGAGGATGGTGTTGATGCTGGCCAGCCGGTGGTCCAGACGCTTGAGCTCAGCCAGCAGCATTGGCTTGTTGCGGAGCAGGAACACGTACCGCCCATCCTTCACGGCCTCCAGGTGCTTAACGCGTGTCTGCAGGGCCACGAGCGTGGAAAGGTTCTTGGGTGAGAAGAGAGACCCCATGTCAGGTCATGCACATTAAAAAGAGGACACCCACTGGCCCCGCAGGAACTCAGACTTGAGCACGAGCCAGCGGGCGACTGTGCTGGTGCGGGAACTCAGGCCGACGGTGCTGAGTCTACAAACCACGTCCAGGGTGGAGCCTGGGCCCTCACGCACTGTCTAACCGCCAGGTGCCAGGCCCAGCACCCGCCTTTAAATATCCCCCCCATCTCGGCTGATCGGGCAGCCCTGCTTGCCTCCTCTTTTCTGCTCAAACCAATCTAGCAGGAAATTCCACTGGGGCAAATTTGAAATTATACGCGGAATCTGATGGCTTCTCACTAGCTCGAGGCTGTCCTGGTCTGTGCGCCCCCATCTTCCTGAAGTACCAGGATGGCCTCAAACAGGCTCCCGTGTCCACCCCTGGCCCTTCCATTCTGCACTCAGCATCAGAGCCGAGTGATTCCGCTAAGCCCAAGATACTCCCCTCCTGAACCCCCTCCCTGAGGGAGAAACCCACGGTCATGCTGGTGCCCCCCAAAGCCCTGCAGGCCTGGGAGCGCTCCCTGCTGGCCCCTGGCCGGCCCTTGGGCAGGCTCTAGCCCCTGCTGTACCCCACTACCCCTCAGCCTGGGGCGGCTTGCTCCCTCACCCCCAAAGTCTTGACTCAGAGGTCATTTCCTCCGTGTGGCCGTCCCAGACCACCCTACTTACAAGTGCTGTCCCCAGCACCTGATGTCCATTCTCTGCTTCATTTTTCTCCAGAGTATCTATCACCACCGGATACAGGGTCTCTTTTTTCTGATTAACTTTGTGTATCATCTGTCCTCCCACCCTCAGAAGGTCGCCTCTAGGAGGGCAGGGATTGTCGCCTTTTCTGTTCTGTTCTGCTCTGCAGCCCTGGTGCCCAGGACAGTGCTGGCCGGTGGAGCCACGTGGGGTGGACAGAAGCAGCAGGCAGTGCTGGGATCCGCCCGGTCTTAGTGCCTGAGGCTCCAGTGGCCCTGGGGACTAGCTTACCTGCTGCTTGAGGGCCGCCAGCCTCTCCAGGTCGGCTTCGAGCTCGTCCCCCTCGGACTGCATCCTCAACAGCTGCTCCTGTTTCTCCAGGAGGGAGTCGCTCACGCTTTTCTGAGTTTCCTCCAGTTCCAGGATGGTTTGGCTGCATTCCTCGGTGGCCTGGGGGGTAGACAGGAGCCTCCTGGGACCCTGCCCCCTTGCTCTTCAGCAGACAGGGAAGCGTTGGACTGGAAGGGCCCGCAGCCCTCTGTGCACACAATATGAGAGGGTTCCCAAAGAGGGGGTGCAGGAGAGTGTCATGGGGTGGGGAGCCCTAGGGGACCCTCGTAGGGGTGGGACAGAGAGGAGCCCTCAGCCAAGCTGGGCCAAGGAGGCCCCCGGGGGAGCCAGTAGGAGTGGAGAGAGACGGATGCCAGGAGTGGCCAACGTGGCAGAGAAATGCACAAACCAGGACCAGAAAAGGCCGCTGCCCTGCACCTCCAACGGCCACACCCCCGGTAACGTCCAAACAAGCAGTTGGGTCAAGTCCGTCTTTTTCGGCTACCCTTTCCTCATACAGGGCTCCCCCTATAGGGGCCACCCAACACTCTCCACTCAGCCCTCTGCGGGACCCTGCGAGGTGAGGGTCCGTGTCGCGGGTCAGTAAGCCGAGGCACAGGGAGCTCGGGCGACGCGCCTGAGCCTCGGGCTGGAACCCCTGAGGTGGGTTCTGTTTCACGTGACCCTCACCACTCTGGGAGGGGGTTACTGCTCCCACTTCCACTGGCAGATGAGGAGATGTGGGCGTGGAAGGTTCCACACACCCCAGAGGCCACATAGCGGTCAGTGGGGCTGAAGGAGGTCTGAGCCCAGAGCCCAGCCTGGTGATCGCTAAGGGGGACAGCACTGCAGCCATATGGCTGGTCCCCTCCCAGGGCAGGGCCCATGTCACGTGCTTGGTTGACGTGGCCTGGGGGACGGGGACACGGGCTTAAGAGGGTGCCCTCCCCGTTCTCATCGGCCTGTCCTCAGCACCCACTAGGGGCAGTGACATGGGGCTCACGCCCTTCCCTGATGCCATCTCTGTCGGCAGAAAGGGGCCGGAACAGGACAGCCTCCAGCCCTGAGCTGCAGCCCACCCACCCCGTGCAGACCTCCTGTTAAACCCACGGCAAGCTCCCAGAGCAAGGCCCTGCCAGCAGGCCGTTAGGGGCGTTCCTGGCCCCTCATCTTGACCCAGAGCCGGCACGTGGTGCATGCGGCTCAGGCTTTGTCCCCAGCACAGAAGAAAGCAGCTTGTCTGATTCCAAAGCTGAGCTCCTTCCATCCCCCTAACCCCCCACTGTCACCTTTCAGTCCCCAACATAGCAGCTGTGACTATAGCTCTGGGAATGAGGGGCAGAAAGAAAGGTGGTGAGGCAGGTAGGGTGGGGAGGAGAGACTGAAATCGCAGCCCAGGTTGGGGCAGGTGCATCCGAAAGATGGCCCTGGCCAGTGATGCCCGGCACACCTGGTGGTGGGGCTGGTGACACACGCTGACCATCTGTGGGCAGGTGGCCCAGGGCGCAGTCCCTTCCCCAAGGCTCGGCTCCCCTACCTTGCGAATGTCCCTGATCTTCCGCCGCAGCTCGGTCTGCTTGTGGTGGAAGTCCGTCCGGGTGAGCAGCTTCTTGTCCAACTTGCACTGCCCCTCGGCCCGGGTGGAGATGGTCTCTCTGCGGGCGACAGCCAGCTCCATGTCCCGGATCATCTTCTCCTGCTGCTTCAGGAGCTGCCCGTGCTTGACCTGGGGCATGGGGCAGAGGGGCCGGTGGGCAGTCAGGACCATGGTAGACAGGAGAGGGGCCAGTGCCACCCCCGGCCAACATCTGACGGCACCCACAGGGAACCCACCTTTGCCCCAGGGGACAAAGGAGTCTGGGGACTTTGTCACCTGATCAGAATGATTTAAGAGCCATATAAAGAACACCCGGCAAACAGGGGACACTGAGAGACATCAGAGGTGGGGAGACATGAGAACTAAGCGCAGCCCAGGGAGGGGTCCTGGAGCAGAAAAAGGACATCAGCCAAAAAAAATGGTGAACTCGGGTTAGAGTCTGTAGTTTGGTTAACCGCACTGCACCAAGTTAATCTCCTTGCTGGGAAAATGCACCGTGTTTTGTGAGATGGTGGCGTGAAGGGTCTGTGGGGCCTGGGGCTGGGGGTCGGGTTGTTGGGGGAGATGGGCTTTGAGGGGCACGAGGGAGGCTTCTGTGAGGGATAAATCTACCAAAACACGTGCAAGAGCCGGATGCTGAAAACTGAAAACACTGAGGAGGGAAGCCAAGCAAGACCCAGTGAAGAGACAGATGCCTGCGCACGGACTGGAAAGGGCAACACAGCTAAGGTTCCTTCTAGAGGGATCCGCAGACTCCATGCCAGTCGTGAGCCAAGCAGGGGTTTTCAGAGAGACTGACAAGCTGATTCTCAAATTTTTATGGAACTGGGACGGAACAGGCTTTTGGACCAGAGGAACACAGCACAGAGCCCAGAGACAGACCCAAGAAAACAAATATGGTCAACTGCCTTCCACAAGGATGTCACTGTAACATTGTTTGTGGTGACAGAACACCACCACACTGGAAACAATCTGAATCTTCATTAACCCGAGAACGTTTCAGTGAATTATGTTACATCCACAGTGTATTCCGCAACGCTTACAGAATGAGTTAATGTCCATATTATTTTTCTAAATACAAGTTGCTAAGTTATATGTACTATTTTTCAAGGAAAACAAAACCAAACCAAACCACAGCAGGAGGGAGGGAGGAGGCAGCCCTGTCCGTGTGTGCGTGTGCGTGTGCATGTGTGTGTAAGCTCTGTGGTGCAGGGTCTGACCTGCTGTGGCAACACACGTGGCTTCTGTGGTTTGAAAAATCAGTTTAATGGAGTGTTTTTCAAACTTATCAGCAGCGTAAGCATTTGATTTTCTATGGATGCCACAGCCAGTGGGGTTATTACTAACCATGGCATTTAAAAGTGATGTCATATCCTTGAAGCCCAGAATCTTTGGCTCAGTGACAGCCTGTGATTTAATTACTGGCCTTTTTTTTTTTAAGGTGGTGAAGTCCAGCTAAAACGACAGCGGAGAGAAAAACACAGCTCGGAGGGGCAAGGTGGTGTGTTCTTTGACTCCTGTCACTGGTGAGGCTTTTTGGTCCAGTGGTGGGGTACACCTCACAATTCAGTCGTAGGGCTGGGGGAGTCACAGCCAGCATTTAAAAATATCAGAGGGCACTGGTTACACGGAGCGAGGGTGAAGCGGCACCTGGCGAGTGCTCAGCAGACAGCTGTGCGTGCTCCGGTTGCTTCGGGGCAGCAAGAACAAGAGCCGGACAGACCCTGACGCGGGAGGCCAGCCAGGGCAACAGCGCATGTCCTGGTGCCTGGGCTGCAAGCTGCCGTGCGGGAGGGGCTTCCTCCCTGGGGCCCCAAGCCTCCAGCCCCCCACGCCGCCCTCCCCTCACCCACCTTCATCCTTTGGACTTCAGCCTTCATGGCCCGGATCTCCATCTGGCCCGTCTCAGAATCCACTGAGGCACGCATCTCTTTTGCCAGTTGGATTTTTTTCTCCCAAAGCATGATCTGGTGCCTTTGAGGGCAGGAGAGGCAGTGTGGGAGCTGGAGGAGGATGGGCTTTCTTTCTGATGCTCCCGCGGGCGCTGTGTGCTGTGCCTGGGACTGGTTCTCCGCTCGAGGGGCCGTGTCTGTGGTGGGTTGACGGAGACCCTCCCCTGTCCCTCCACGAGGGGTGCCCTCACCTGGCAGGTGGCACCATTAATTTGCAGGCAGGAAGGCATGGGCTTAAATGGAATCAAATGTCCCTCATTCTGGGACCAGAGGGTCAACTCAACCCCAGGGCCCAAAACCCTCACCCAGCGAGAGAGAAGCAGATATGTAACTTTTGGAGAAGCTGAGAAAAGCAAATATAAATGATAGGAGTTGACATAAAAAAAAGGGAAAAAATCCCAATAGACCAAGACCCTGAAAGCTATTAAAATGTCAGCAAAGATACACGCCCCCTGCTGTGGTCTGAATGCCCTTGTCCGACCTGTTGGAGTTCTGACCCCCATGTGGCTGGGTCAGGAGGCCGGGACCTGGGGAGGTGATGAGGTCATGAGGGTGGAGGCCCCGTGAGCGGGATTAGCGCCCTCATAAAAGGGACCGCACTGAGCACCCTGTGAGAACACAGCCAGGAATCTGCCGCTCAGACGAGAGCCCTCAGTGGACCAGGCAGGCGCCCTGACCTCGACGTCCGGCCGCCAGAACTGGGAGCAGTAAGTGCCTGCTGCTCCGTTACAGCCGCTGGGAGGGGCTGAGATGCCCTGGAAGAGCACCAGGGCCGGGTGTCACGTGTAGACTCTGTCAAACCCCAGGGAGGGGACGGGCCTTTGCATCTCAGCCCCGTGGAGAGCACCGATTAGGAGCCCATCCAGCTGGAGATGCAGACCCACGTGCACCGACGGGAAGGACAGCCACGGAGAAGGCAAGGCTTGTTCAACGGGGGACAAAAGAACAATCCCATTTACGCTGGGGAAAAAACAAGGAAGAAATGCGCGGGGAAAATGGTGAAGGAAGAGGTTTGGGTTACGTGTGATTCTCGCTCCTACTCTGCACACAGAGCTACGGTTTTAAATGCTCATAACCAGGCACCAGAAAGATCATACAGTTCTTGTAAAAGCTGGATTCAAAGGGAGCCACGCCATTTCCAGGGGTCACCGACTGCGGGGAGGGTGGCCCGGAGGGCAGGAGGCCAGACCCACCCCGATCCCGCCCGCGGCTTCAGGCGGATTCCGCCGGGGGGATGCGCGCCCCGCACTCACTCGGCCTCCACCAGGCTGTTGAGCAAGGCCGCCTTCTCCTCGCCGAGCTGACTCAGCTTCTCCTGCATCTCCGC